AATACTACATAAATATGTATAATATATATGTATATTTAAATATTTTTGAAATTTTACGACAGTATTTTGAATTGAACATTTCAAGAAGTTTGTTATAGTTGTTGTTATGTATATAACTAAGTGAAAGTGTATTTGCCTGCTTGTGTAACTGGTTTGTTATATGCGATTGTAGAACTTATAAACTATATAATTTTTCTTCTTTTTCTTCGTCTTTGTCTTCGTCGTCTTCTCTTCTCTCTTCTTCTTCTTCGTGGCGCTTTCAAAAAATGCAATTTAAATATTTTTTATAACTATATGTATAATATTTTCGTTACTCGTTTTATAGATTTAAATCGAGGATAAGTCGTGCATTATCATTATTACTATTATTATTATTATTATTTAATTGCCGCTATTATTACTTAATAAATTTTTCAATTTCTTTCATATCTAAAAAGAAGTCTTCATTTTTTATGCGTTTCTTTTGTTTTGAATTATTCAGAAGTACAACGTATGTGAGAGTGTGGGAGTAGTTAGCGTTAGAAGTAGAATTATGTTAACAAATGTATAGACATTAGGTTAGAATTTGGTTTAACTTTTAATTCATTTCTTAAAGTCTTATTCATAATTAATATTACAAACTTATAGCGGGTTCGTTTCGTTTTTAAATTTGCAAGAAATTTATTACGCGATACGGATAGAGAGCAAAACTGTGCTAATTAAAAAAAGAATTGCAAAGATTTGTTTATAACTATTTTTTTTTATGTTTTTTTTTTTTGTTTTTTATTTCTTTTTTTATGTTTAAGTAAGGTAAATAAATAAGAATGATTCATTGAGAGGATTTTTGCAATAATTTTTATTTCATTCTTTTGTTTTTTATTAAAATTTTTTTCTCGTTTTAAAAACGACTACTTATTTACGATTTGTTTTTCTCTTCTTTTTTTTCACGTATTTTGATCTAAAATGTTTATCATATTTATGTTATGATTGTTTTTTTTTTGCTTTTCTTCATTTTTATCTAACGTTTTTATTTACTTTTTTTATATACTTTTCTTTATGCGGAAATTGTTTAATGTTGATTTTCTCATATACTTTTGGAATTAAGTTGTCTTCTTTTCTTCATTATTATTTTTATTATTATTATTATTATTATTATTATTAATTTCTTCACTTCTGAGGAGAGTATGTTTTTAAATATGCTACGCTTAAATTCGATTTAAGGCTAACATGTCTGTCTATTGTAAACCTTTAGCATTCGGATTGCACAAATCATTTCGTCTTCTTTGTTGCGGTCCGAGAGAGAAAAAAATAAAAAAAAGAAAATTTCATATTTTTTCAGAGTTAAGAGAGAAAAGTTGCACTTGTGCGTTTTAATAGATCCTAAAATCGAACAAAAGATCAGTATTAGCGAAGAAAATCTCCTCTTAAATAGATTGGAATGTTTTTTAATTTAATCAATATTTTTTAATAACTATTTTACATAATATTCGTTGCTTTTTTGCTTTAATTTTCTATTTTCTTCTTTTTTTTTTTTGTTTTCTTGATTTAATCTTGCATTTCAAAGGAGAAAAAAAAGAAAAAAAAACAACATTGTTATAAGACTTGGTTTCTTCTACAATTTTGTTTTAAAGTAATTATTATTTGCATCTGCACAGCAGAAATAAATTATATACTAACATTTATTAATTACTTTCGCTTCTCCACGATTTGAAAGAATATGAAGTATCATAATTACAACATCATACAACATTACTTATAAATTTCATACTCTTTGCATTTAATTTTTTATTTTTTTTAATCTATTTAAACATTGAGTTTTAAAAAAAATTTTTTATAAATATATAAGCATTTATTTTATTGCTAAACGAATTTCTAATACGCTACTTTTATAAAATTGTGACTGTGTTCGTATAATATACATATGTACGTCAATAGCGGTTTTTGCCCGTGTAATCCGTGTAACAAGAAAGTATGAGAAATTGAGAGATTGAAAGATGAACGATACGAATAGAGAGAGAGAGAGAGAGAGAGAGAGAGAGAGAGAGAGAGAGAGAGAAAGAAAGATTGCTTGGAAACACGCTCAAACGATCCATTCATTCATTTTTTGCAAAAATCATAATAACTTAAAATGTGGAAGAGAGAGAAGGAAAGGGAGAATGAGAGAGAGTGAGAGAGAGAGGCAGAGGAGTAAGTGTGATGATTTTCTTGTTTCATGAGTTTGAACACATACCTGTAAAAGAGATAATGCGTGAGCTTACGGGGGACATATGTAGAGAGTAAAACTTTTGTAAAACGAAATATAAATAGCTTCGTCTTTTGTTTTTTTTTGATTTTTTGTTTTTTTTTTTAACTTCTTATACTATAATATAATTAAAAATTTGTGGTAATTCTGTTAACTATTGATAAATAAAGAGATATCAATCAATTATTTACAGTTAATTCAACATAGAAAAAATGGAAAAATAAATGCAGCTCCTTTAAGATGTTAATGAAAAGAGAAGAAAGAAAGAAACAGATAGATAAATAAGTGCAGAGAGAGAGAAAGAGAAAGGGAGCGAGCGAAGAATAATATTACATCGAGAAAAATAAATGCAATTACCGACCTGAACATTGCTTAAACTTTAATTCTTTTTGTGTCATTATAAACAAAATGGCATTTTCTAATAAGTTTTAGTAAATTTTTTTTATTTTTATTTTTTTTTTTACTTTTTATTTGTTTTTTATTTTTTTATTATATTATTTAACTATTACCATATGTATATATGTATGTATATTTAAATAAGTGTAATGTAATTTTTGCTTTTTATATTTGTAATCGGAATTTCTTTTTTGTTTGATTTATTTGTTTTGTTTGTTTGTCTGTTTGTTTGTTTGTCTGTCGTAAGTGTAACTTGAGCTTTATTTTGATTTTTTGTTGTTGTTGTGTTTTCACTGTAAGTTTAGTTTGTAGACGTCACAAAAATTTTTGTAGTTTGACTTTGTGCACCGGTATTCATAATAATAACTACTCTCAATGAATGCAAAAACTGCTAAAACTTCTTTTTTAAATCTTTAATTTTTGCATAAATAATTTAAAGACAACGTTCTTTGAATAATATAAGAAAAAAAAGTATACAAATTTAATATAAATAACATACATAATATCTACACAGTATAACATTGGGTCTTTGTTGCGATCTCATGATGTTCCGTGAAAACTTTTTCGATTTAAGACTCTGCCGATCAGAACAGAATCTTATTAATCGTGATTAAATCAGTCAAAAGTATTCTTACATAATATTTTCTTTTACAAGAAACGGTACGTTTTCATTTTCCTTTTTCTTTCGTTTTTTTTGTTTTTTTTGTTTTTTTTTTGTTTTCTATTTTTTAAGTATAACTTGTCTTCGACTAATTTAACCATTTCAGTTATTGTTTTACGATGTGGACTTGTAATCGGTAAATATAATTTCTTAAAAGAAAAATATTACATAAAACAAATATCGTGTCAACAGTCAGTCTTCACGTTTCACACGTTGGTCGGATGAAAACCCGTGATATTAAAAAAAAAAATAATAATAATAATATCCTGTAGGTTTTGGCAAAATCGCAATACTAAACTTAATCATTAACATCAATTTAGACGTGATTGAATTTGAAAGGGGGGCAGCAAATAGACGACACATCATACTTTATTTTAGATAAATTAATTGATGATAATTATTTGTATATGTGTGGTATTATTGTTGTTGTTCTTGTTGATAATGGTGTGTTAAAAGGACGATCGAGGAAGAAACATATAGAGATAGCGTGTATGTCACAATTTCACAACTCGACTCTTACCACTATAGCTACAATTGATATAGTTTTAGCATAATTTATAACAAAGCAACAAATTTCAAAAAAACACAAAACGAAAAAAAAAACAAGAGGCATTATTACATAATTACATCCAATTAAACTACGTAACTAACATACAATGGCAACGCAAAAGTACATTGGGAGCTATCCACACACTTTTTGTTATAATAAATTATTATTAGAAGACCGTACCCAATGTCCACCACCACCTTGGTTAAGCATTTTCTAGTCACCGTGACTCAACCAGTTATGTGGCTTAGTTAGCTAATGTTATTAATTGGCTAATTAATCCTACCAAGTTGCCACATAAATGGTTTGCACCCGTTTGGGTGGCGGTGACCCCTCAGCAGTGGGGATAAATTTTTATGACGTCTCTAAAAATCATACTTTAAATGTTTTTTCACGCCGTTGTTGTTGTCTCTGTTGTTGGTGCGGTTGCTGCAGTGGTGGTTGCTGTGGTATATCTGATGACTGATTTAAGTGGTGTGATGTCTGATGATGATTTATGCCACCATTGGTTATACTGCTGCTGAATGCATGTGTCATAGCACCATTTATAATTGTATCGTCATATGTGTACGAACCTATGCGGTGATCACTTCGACTGCGTTCACGATCATGTGTGCGTTCCCCTCGATGATGATCCATGACATTAAGGCCACCATTGCGATATTTCAAATTTGCGACTTGACTTTGGGAGCGCCGATTACCCAACCTGCGTAATTCATATTCTCTCGCGTCAGCCACGTCGAAGGTGGCAGCACGTTGATGATGTTTTGCGGCTGTTACTGCAGAATGAGATTGACGTTGTATACCGGATTGCTGCGACTCGTAAGCTCCCGGACAATATTCATCGTATTCGTGGTCAATGCATGTATTCGCATTACACACCACAGCTGGAATTGACGTTTCCTGACTGTCTCTGCTACGCGACGACGAGCGATGTTTTTTGGGGGGTAAAGGGATGGGCGCGGTAGAGGTCACAACTGTGCTATGGTTGCTGCCGGCCATTGCTACGGCTGAAGTGCCAGATGTGGTATGGCATGCAGAACGCCTTACTACATCTACACCTCCGCCGCAGCAGGCGCATTCCTACAATTCAGTTACCGAGTACATGTCATTGTTGCCATGCGAACCGCCTCGTTTTAAAGATCGATAATACATTTGCTGTTGAGCGTCGACCAACAATTGCTGTTGCTGCTGTTGATGTTGTTTAGCTGTCGCACTTGTCGAGTGATGATAATTGTTATTGGGTGTAGTAGCCACTTGTGATGATGAATGACGTTGATGAAAGTATGAGTTTGGTTGCCCCGAATCATAAGAATATTGTTTTCTAATATTTAAATGGGCGCTCTGCTGCTCCCCATAACCCGAGTTCGAGCGTGCGTTATCCAAAGTTTCCGAACGGCGAGGACGTTCGTGTCTATCACGTTCACGTTCACGCTCCCTTTCTCTTTCCCTGTCTCGCTCTTTTTCGCGTTCTCGTTCGTAGGATTGTTGTTGATGGCGTAAATTACTTAGCTTTGGTGGCGGGACTTGTGGTATTTGTTGATGTAGCTCGCTACTGCCAGCATTGTGTTGCCGTGGTGATGTTTTATGTCGATTTTTGGGCGGTAAAGTAGGAGGCTGCAACTGATTAGTTGTTTGTTGGTTTAAATTGGTTGATTGGGTAGCAGTGTGCACAGCTGTATTAGCAGCTGACAATTGTAATTTTTGTGTTTGTGGTCTTTGTAGTGAGCGATATTGATTTAGATTAGCAGCGCATAAGGGCTGAGGTGAAATTTTTGATTGCTGATGCTGTTGTTGCAGCGTCGCTGGGTTGGGAATTTCCGGTAACGGTTGATTAACAATTGAATTAGGATTTAGTGAACGGGGTGGTGCTGATTGTAACGTCTGAATCTGCGTTGGTGGTGGAAGGGGCCGGGGAGTTGCTGAAGGTGTTTTAGGGGGCAGTGGAATGGGTGGATCTAAAGATGGTGGTGGTGGCTTTTGCTGGGCCTGGGACTGTTGCAGTTGTTGATAACTAGAGCTTTCAATACTGTATACAGCTGATGGAGGTAAAATATGAGTAGTTGGTGGATGATGTTGCATCACCGATGATTGCTGCTGAGAGTTGGCTAAGGTTGGTGTTACTGCCGCTTGCTGTATTTCCTGTAATTGATACTGTGGTTGTTGTTGTTGTTGTTGTTGCTGCTGCTGCTGCTGCTGCTGTTGTTGTTGTAACTGATGTTGCTGTTGTTGGATTTGCTGTTGCTGATGCTGTATTTGTAACTGTAATTGTAATTGTTCTTTGGCATATGAGCTGCCCACACCGGTTGTTCCAGGGATTTCAGTGAACGTATTCTTTGGTTTAGGCGGGGGTAAAGGCGGTGGTGGTGGTTGTGTAGTTGGCTGGGTTACAACAACATCTGTAGGATTGCTTGGGTATGCCTGCGTAATGCAGTCAGGCTGAGAGCAATAGTCTTTCGAAACCGTAGCTATGGAGGGGGTTTTGGCGTTACGCAAATTCGCTGATGGACTTGTGCCTTTCAATGAACCACCGTAACGTCCAACGTGCCGTAGGGTAGCACATTTACTGGCCGTAGCCGCAGCTACTACATTCAAATTATTGTTACCACGAACTGCTTTCGGTCCAATGCTGATGTATTTCGGGTCAAAGCGATTAAAACTGTTATTGGTGACATCACGCGGATCTTTATCATCGTCGCGATCTAAACCATTGCCTGTGGATCTGTACATCGTGTTAGAGGTCTGAGATGAGAGTACTGAACGTAGTGACGAACCAGCTGAACGAGGGAGGGTGGCTGAAGTAAATATGCTCTTTAAAGAATTTCTGCCAATACCATTCGAGGTAATGCTACTGTTAAGATTAGTAAAGCTTTTGCCTGCATACGTGTTGCAGGCAAGCGAATCTCAGTAAAAATCGCTGGATTCTAAGGTCTTACACTGTTTACTGAGCGTGGCATACTTGCCGTTGTTAGGACCGCTCAGATATGATGATGATTGCTGCTGATGAGATGGTAAACGGCCCAGGGTATGATGACCAGAACTGCAGAAAGTAAAAATAAAAACCGCATTAATTTAAAAATTCGAAGGAAAGTTCTGCTTTGTGAAAGCTGAAGCCTAAGTGTGGTTGTAAATGATTTTGAAAAAATTGTAAAATATGTGCGAATTTGTTTATATCTCTTTTATATAGTTGTGGCGATTTTTTAGGGAAAGTTTAAAGATAAGGCATATATGCAAAACATATGATTCATGCTTACTGAATATTGTGAAGGTTTCGATTACCCAATTTTAATGGGTGTGTTCATAATTTGTCATAAGTTACGTTGTAAAACGTGAAAATTATAAAGATTTGCAAAACTGGTTATAATTGAAAAGTGAAATAAAGTATTGACCCTTATGCCCATCACTGAACGATGGCGATACACTATATTTATTCTTTTGTTCGTAATATCCAGAGCCTCCACAAAGTACATGAAAATGTCTGTCTACACGCCCAGTAGTCGTCTCAGTTTGACTATCGCGAAAATTGAAACGGTAGGTTGAAGTTCGACAGATACATCCTTAGTTGATTTTCGTATGGAAGACATATCCTGGATGATTGACTTTTGACGTAAATGTTTCTTTAAGCGGAAATGAAAACAAATTTAATACGAATATTACGCGAGACCGTCATAACGCCCCTGACTGATTAGCTAAACATTCCTGTATCCTGTTAAAATGATAGGTAGATTAGGGGCTCGACTCGAGGTTATTTTTTTTTTTTCGTAGATAAGGATTCGCAAATAATGAATCATACGTGTACACATATATTCCTTTAATAATGTTGTTATTTGTGTGAGTGCGATTATCGATTAACAGAATGGAAATTATTTACATAGAAATCTATCATTCTTAACGATATTTTCATTCCTCTTCAAAATTTATAGATTTTATATGAAGACAATAAAAATAAAGAAGAGAAATTGCTGTCATTCGTGTTTTCATATAGTCTTCTGTTAATACTTGACTATAATGTGTGTGTGCTCGTATGAATAGCTCGTGTGCGTGCGTTTGCATATATACATGGACGTATGTATATGGATATGTTTTTATTTACTCTTCAAATATTTAATATTAAGTAAAAGCGTCGCCTTTCTAGGGTGCAATAAAATCGTGGCATTATTCAACTCAAAACTGAAGGAAACAAAAACGAATAAAGAGAAAAAAAAAAAAAAAAAAAAAATACCAGCATATAATAATGCATAAATAAAACAGTTATAATTAAAAATAAAATAGTTATAATTGCGACAGCGAAGAATCTCAGACTTTTGCTAATTGACTAGATTTTGAAGATTTGTTGGTTTTTGGGAGGTTTTGACTCTGCTATTGTCTGAATTAACTGAACAGGCTTTTTGCTGAAGACGTAATGATATTTTTTTTTTTTCAAAAACCTATAAATACTTTATTTATTTAATTATTTTAGTTTTTTTAAAGGAATTCTATCTGCTTGTTAACTTATTAAGTGAATTTGGGCTTTCTTAATGCAACTTCTTTAAAGATATAAGTATTAAGCAAATTTTTGATCAATTTAATCGTTATTTCCTGGTTAGTAGACAAACGCAAGTGTTTATATAAATATTTTTGAAAAAAGGTATTCGAAAAAAAGAAGAAATGAATAAATAAAAAAAAAAAAAAATGTATAAGGAAATCAATTAAATAAAAAAACAAAGCCATGCCTTATGCCATGCACCACAACATCATAACCGGGCGGTGGTGAGGGTGATAGTCTTCTGTTGTTAACAGCACTACTAACACCTGCACCACCAGTTCTACTGCTGATCGCAGTACTACCCAGAGTAGTGTTAGTTTTGTGATGATGTTGTTGTTGATGATGAAGGGGATTGTTGTATGTGGCGACGAACCCTGTTCTTAATCCGTTGGCGGTGCCATTGCTACGCGAACTGCCTAAAGTGCCAGTGCTGCCTGTCGTCATGCCACCATGTAATTGCTGATGATGCAATAAAGTACGGTTAATAGTGCCCGTATGATGCAAAGGTGCAGTGGGTGATATATTGGCGCTTGGCGCATTCGAAGGAAATAATGGAACCGTCTCCGATTTATCAATATCCATGGATGGTCTATACGTATAAATTTAAATACTTAAATAATAAATCATTAATTCAGGAAAATATATTAAACCTTCGTTTGTTTAAATAAATCCAAGCATGCGAATCAGCGTAAACTAAAATTGTGAAAAGGAATGAGGTCAATAAGCCAGCTACCATCATTAGACTTAAACCTAGTAGGCCACCGCCGCAAAGACCGCGTAAAGCGTCCGCGTAATGTCGATCTATTGCCCGACGATCCAATGTGGCCGACAACACAGTTAAATTTCGTTTCGTTTCTTCCAAATCGTTGTCCATCGCTTCCAGCGTTTTATGCACATCTATACGTGGATATGTTTCTTGACTCATTCTATAAATTAAATGCAAATTAAATTTGAATGTTCGCCCCTTGAAGAGATTTCTTAGTTTTACCTTTGAATTAAGTAAACTGACTCTCTGGCGCGCTCCACCAAATCACGGGATTCATTTAAGCGTAAAATAAAACGATTTCTTAAAGTGCCACAATTAAGAAAATATACATAAGGGCTTCGCTGTAGATTAGAATTAAAACATCATGAATTAAAATTATATTTAAAAAAAAATTAGATTTAATTCGTAATAAATTTGCAATTCTCTCCTTCTTCTTCATCTTCTTGAAATTCAATGGGTTTTGTAACTAATCGAGAACAGTACTTAGGAATGTTTAATCTTAAACATGCTCTGTACCGTGTTGTGAACGCTCACTCCCATAAAAATCGTAATAAAAATTTGAAATTTCATGGAATTTTCATATATTGAAGATGTTAAGGTGTCCCAACGATTTGTCCTAACTACCATAATATTTCCTCAATTGTTTTTTTTTTCTCTCTCTTTGATCTTACTTGTGTGTTTTTGTATCTGAACGGGTGATAAATTAATGTTGGCAGGTCTACTCGATTTCGGAGAAACGTGAGTCGAGGAATAGGTATGGCAATGTCTCTTTATTATACCCACCATTGTTTTCTTCCAAAATATATGTAACACTCAAAAGGAAGCTTTAGAGACACTTCAAAGTATATATATTCTCGATCAGCGTGAAATTCTGAGTTTATTTAGCCATGTCCGTCCGTTTGTGTGTCTGTGTAGTGTGCGTTTTTTGCACTCTCCTTGTTGCAAGAATGAAGATATCAACTTAAAATTTGCTAGAACCATTGGAAGTTTCTGCATGCAGTTTGCTATTTAAAATGGGCCAAATTAGTCAGAGCAAAAGCACGCAATGGAGCGTAAACTGAATACAGCTCAGTTCTTTTTGGAAAAAAATTCTGGATTTTTGTTCGTTTCTCGGAAATGACTAAAATTAAAATCCTGAAATTTTCCTCATTTACTTTACGAAAGTCTACTCTTTGGGTGCGAAAATCGGCGATGCCTACACAAAGTCACGAGCAACTAATTAATATTTCTTTCAATTTTTCCAGCTTTTATGGTTATTTATAACAAGGCAAACAAGATCGAATTTTTAAAACTATTTTGTACACACCTTAAGTGAAGATATATTATCTGCCTAAAAATGGGTTAATTTTAAAATGAATATGGTAGACATCGCGATCAGTAGCTTCTTAATAGTACTAGCGATATGGGTACCAAATCAAGGCACATGGAGAGTAGATTCCGAAAAACATGGTGGTGGTGGGTATGCGAGATTCGGCCCTCGTCGAATATAAATTTCTTACTTGTTTTTATTTTCCATTGAAATTACAATTACATCTTTAAAAAATTAAATTGTAAAAAACGATTTGGTTTCAATTTCTTTCTTTTTCTCTTTAGGTCTACTTCAGAAAGCAGCAATATTCGTCTACAGACATGATCGTATATAGTAACTTGTTGAAAACCCTATTGAAAACGCAGTGTTCTCGGTTTATTTATGGAACAGCACCTTTATATTGTATATTAAGTATTTTAATCTTTGAATATGTTATTAGAAAATTAGCAGTGTCAAGTTAACCGTCACGAAACATGTTACCTTAACAGAGTACGAGGCAAATGTGCAATCAAATTCTAAAAGGAAAACAAACAATGTCAAATGGAAGAATACAGCGATATGAAATGAAAATTAGAAGACAAAGCACATGTCGTTAAATTCTTCATCTTTAATTCATCGTCATCATTTTCTTATATTATGGGCCGTTTTTAAAGCAAAGAAAGACGGGACAGTTTTCTAAGACCCAACTTTAAGTCCAAGTCTGCTTTATTCCAATTCAACTGCTGGGCTTTTCGTTTTCAATGGATGAAGCGTATAGTCAGGAAGCTTCAGAGACCCCACAAACTATATATATATTCTTAGACAATATCAAATTCTTAATCGATTTAAGCTTGCCCGTCTGTCTGCTTGTCCATTTGTCCGTCCGTAAGTCTGTGGGAAACATTCTTGTCACCGCAAAAATGAAGCTGCAGACTTTAAATTTTTCAGAAACATTGAAGCTTCTTGCACGTAGGTTAGTATTGAAAATGGGCCAAGTCGATCGAAGTATACGCCTACAGTAACGCGTAAACTAAGAAAACCTCTGTTTCTCAGAAGCAATAAAAGATTGGTTTTTGGATCATTACTCATGAACTACAGTAAATACGTTCACAAAAATTTGAACGTATATTCTACAGGTGATGATGTAGTACTTATATAAAACGTGTAAAAATTGACCACACCTACTTAATATTATAGTTTGTTATAACTTTTTTTTTTTTTTTCATTTAGAACGTTCAGAAGCACGGTTCCCACATAAAGTATATAAATTCTTCAATTTTCATTTTGGAATGCATTTAAACATGTCTGTCCATCTGACCGTCTACCGAACTGTGTAATATATGTGGTAAACATTGACCCCGTTCGCAAAAATGAAGATATCGCCTAGAAATTTGTGAATGAATTTGCAAATGATCAAAATCGGCGAAAAGGCACATCTGCAATGCCCACGTGTCTATGCAGCAAAAACTGTGAACATCTTTGCTTTCCGTATCTTTTGAAAATGAGAAAATATCAGCCGGGCCCACTCAATATTATAGATTATGAAAATTTGGTAGCTTTTTAGGATCACGGTAATCGATATAAAAGATTTGATCAAGACCGAATGTAATTTTCTTATTTGTTGTAATTGTTACGGCTTTGTTATGGCACGCTTTTTATATTGACTTTTCATTCATTTCCATGCGGACAAATTAACTCATATTTAATTTAATAAATTTCATAATTAAGTTTGCTTCCGTTTGGTAATAATTTGTTTTTATTTTGCATTTTCCCACTTTGCCAAAAGATTCGTTGCATATGGATTTTGGACTGTGTTAAGCAAGTTCGTAAAATTCAATTTCGCACTTAATAAACTATGCCTGGCTTTAATAGCTTTGAAAATTTTTTCCATGTTTGTTGTCTTTTGGCTTTGGGCCAATCTGCAAGTGTGAGACGTTGAGAAAAGGAGGAGAAAAACTTTAGAAATATTTGTGCCGAAAGAAGTTTTAACAATTTTTTACTTACTTACTTCGCTGTAAGTAAAATATATCTAATGGTCAGTTCATTGATTTGGCCAAAGTTTGTTCCGACTTTTGGGCTACTTTAGCTTGCCCTTGTTTTTAAATTATTATTATTTTTCTTTTTTTTTGTTTGTTTGTTAAAAAGACTTATCAAACAAACTTCTCAAATATTCATTTTGCTTTTTGTTTTTTTTTTTAATTTTTAAAAAGAATTTAAGACGTAAATGAGAAAATGATTTCTCCCCTTTCTCTTTTATTTTTCCGTCATAATTTTTTTTCTAATTAAGCTATGCACGCACATAGAAATTAATGAAAATATAGAGAATTGTGCAAAAGGATTTTTTATCTGTTTTGTAATACATTTCTTGGTAGCGTCATTGTCTACCAATAAGAGGAGGCAGTTTAAATTAATCACGGAATGGAACATTTATTTCCCGCATCCATTCATTGTAGCAGTCAGACTGACAATACTTACGAAAACATGCGAATCTCCAATTGGGTCGTGATTTATACACGTGTGAAAACTACACTCTTACTAGTCGGTGCTGGGAAGTTTGTCTGACTATTTCCCTTTGGCTTTCAAAGCTGCAGAGACGACGACAAATTGAAATGAACTTGGTCACCTGGAATAATTCAAGTGTACTGCGAATGTGTCAGAAAATTTTCTAATTCTTATCGGCCAAATGTCATCGCAATGATATATTTGACAGATCATTTTTATTAATTAAATTATAATAATTTTTTTTAACCGTAACGAAATCTCTTTGCAAAGAGTTTATTTGAAAGTTTTCTATTTATGATTGAGCGGAAATCGTCAGCCATCAAAGACTAAACTAACAGTCGAAAAAAGAAGGTTGGAAGAGAATTCACATTGAGTTTCATTTTAACATCGGTGCGATAGGGATAGCAAGCATTACAGTGACGTACAAATCATCGTTTTGTACGCATAGGTTTTCGATTTATCTCTTCTGCTACTTACCATGCCCACTTGGCGGCACATGTACTCGTGTGGGCGCATACAAAAATCACCCGCTGCCACCGATGAGGCCAAATAAATGCCCGACAGCAGCCAGCACATAATAATACAAAATAAACCGGATACGCTGAAAAATATAAGAGCACAGCGGGATCGACGTGCGACGCCTATAACCAAAACAGTGCACAACAGTAACAGCAACGTCAGAAAACCCAAAGTTGCTGGCCAGCGTATTGATTCGTAAAGTTCCCCCATCTGCGATAAGCAAAAGGAAAAATGAAATTCAACACCTCCTTAACGCAAAATTCGAAATTTTCGCTACCTGTAATAAGCCCATGAGTGTATCGTCGTCGTTCTCACCGCCTTTCGTCTTCATAAAATACAGCACCATATTGTCGAGACTCGTGACAGCTCTTGAGGTATTTTCGCGCACTAAATTACATGTCTCTATCAACAGCATTACTGCTGTCTGATTGTATTGCACTCGTTCGATTTGTGCCTCCAATCGATGTTGCGACATCTTCCGTTCCAGGTCATGTTTAATTGCTTCAGTCTGCAAGAAAATCAGTTATTTGATAATTTTTTAAATAATTAACTACGTCCCGGCCGTTAACTTACAATTGTATGATTAAATACTATTATGCTAATGCACCTTACGCTCAACGTAACATAAAGAACATGTTATGTTATTAATGTTGTTGTAATGTAGTTTTGCTTTCAACAAAATTCCATTATCTTACCACTAATTGCCTCCTTATCATATATTATGATTATTGTTTCTTGAAAATGAAACTTAAATTTCCATTTAACTAATAAAGATATTTATCGGCTTACCAAGCTAACAAGAGATCTGCACAAAGCTTGCAAATAAACTTGTTAATTAGTTAACAGAACTCTTCGTTGTGAGTGTATGATGTTATAGGTGGATTTAATAATTAGGAAACTTAGTCTGTTTAGGTACATACGACGTGATCGGAAATGTAAATGTTTTCTTTGGAAGTTATGTTTAATAAATGTTTGAAATGCGCTCCTCGATCGTCCAAATCGAAATTTGAAAACACAACAACGCTACCAAACTAAAAAATCTCGGAATACCTTTCTAATGACTAAATAATTATGAATATTTTGTTTAGAAGCGGTTTTTGGAAGTCATATATCTATTACAACGGAGTATGCTGTACGTATACTAACGAATATGTTTTGCCTGCCACGGACATACATTGCTTTGCCAAATAGACAGACTGCAAGACCGATTAAATGAAGTGACTTTGCTATAAGCTATACTCGGTAGAAGATTTTCTTGGCATTAGGAAGGCCGCAAATGATGACGACATGCACTTCTCGAATAACGCATTAAAGCCGATTAAATGTATTAAAAAAGATAAAACCTAACGAAATCAGACGCGATGGTAGACCGTTCATCCAATCGCCCAAAACGTCAAGTGGACAATTATAAAGATGTCGTTTCCTAGGGAATGTCAAGCTGAATAATCCGAGGTTCCCTACGAACTATAGACTGTAAGGCAAAGAAAGATTAGTTGGTCCTTCAGCTATTATTACAGTTTAGCTTAATTTGCCTTGTGCACAGAATATTCATTCGTATCGTTGAAATGAAATTTCTTCTCATACAGTTGTACACCGCTTGTGCGTGTAGTGTTGTGAACTTTGTTCAGAAGTAGTTGGGAGCGGATGGACCTTTCATTATAACAATCCATTGAGATAGAAAATGCTTTCGAATGGGCATAAGCATGCCTCCTTCTTGTCTATCCATCGGATGTCACTGTCCATGTATAGTTCCGTTCAACGTACATAACCTGGCATTTGCGGTATTCTGTTGAAAATAGAAAAGAAGCCTTTTTTGAGAAAGTCTTTACGTGAAATAAATGTTCTCGTCTATTACATGTGTTCTCAATTTAATAGTTGTATTGGGATCGGATACGGCCATTTTTGAAATCGTCTCTATTTCAAACGTTCTCACGAGAGATAAACCTCTAATATAATAAGCAGGTTTTACTTTTAGTATTTTATGATATGGAAATTGGTTTAGAGGCAAATTAGGACTGCTCCCATACAAAGATTCCCATGTAAGTAAGCAACAAGATTTTATTCTTATAGTATTTTATAATCAAAATAACTGAAGTATTTTATTAGGTGGCATTGACGACTTTCACCGACCATAACGTTTTCATTTGCTTTCGTTGATCTCGTCTTAAGTTTTTGTTCTAATTCTCATTGCATATACTATTTATTATTCAATGCTTTTATTTGGCTAAATTAGAAAAAAAAAAATAAGCAACAAATCTCTCATTGAACACAAGTATATATAGATTTTAAATGCAATTTTACGACTCGAGACCATCTAAAGATGTTGCTTCAACGTTTTTATTTTCAAGTCTGTAGTTTTCCGTTTTTATATACCAAATAACGTAGCATATATATAGAATCGTTAATCAGTGCCAGGCTATTGACTCTGCTTTTCCTTTATTACTTTCTGATTGGGTAAAATAAAGATTAAAAAAAAAAAAAAAAAAAAACAAAAAAACAAAAGTACTTAGTTTGACACGTAAGCCGTACCATAAATATATTTGTAACCGAAAAATGTCAATTATCCCTAAACCAAATTACCGAGTTGTAGTAAACAATCAAGTGGTGTGAGTATGAGTCAGTTGGTCAGTGCTTTTGCTATGGGCAACAACAACATCAATTAGTATACTTTAGCGCCATGAATATCTTGCCAGGAAGGACATTGTGTGCAATTAAAACAGAGGAACTTTTACCGAGTTTTTGAAAGCAAACCCTTCTAACCGTACAATAGAATAAAAAGTAAAAAGAATAAAATTAAAAAAAGAAAAAAAAAACTGTTGCAATAGTTTCCAACTTTTCTAAAGTTAGACGAAAATGAACAACCACTGCAGAAAAAGATGTGAAGACATTAATGTCCTGTTTAAAGCTCTTTATAACAAATATCTGTGACCCTTCCGCCTTCCTTTTTAGCGGTTGTTCAACATGCATTAAAAACAAAAAAAAAAAAAAAAAACAAATTTAAAGAGAAGCTCCTTCGCATTTCAGATTGTCATAACATGACTGCAGCTTGATTTTTGTTGTTATAATTATTCTTCCTAAGAAAAAGTAGACAATACGCAAATCTCTTTGAACAAATGATTAATTAAAAAATTTCAAATCAATTTATTTAAAAGAATATTTCAATTTTTTCCTTTCCTTTCGTTAAGCTAAAATCATTTTTGTTCCTCTATATCCGTCGCATGATAATTAGCCCTAACAATTCGTTGACTTTCTGGCCAAAAAAGCTACAATATCACTTCGCTGGAACATTGAACGTTTGCTACTTAAGTTTTTTACTTCCTCCTAAAATTTATTGCTTAGCCGGATGTTTGGCTGGACAGTTTGTATCACAAAAGCTATAGGATGCTTTTCGTCTTTTATCTTAGCTATGAAAACGAGTAAAATTCACAAAAGGTTGCAATTTTATACTTTTTGAACGCTTATCATAGATTTTTTTTTTTGTTTTTATACCCCTCACCGAAGGATGAGTATATGGTATATTCATTTTCTCAAAACAGTTGCAACGCCCAGAAGGATGCATCAGAAATCCTGCAACGTATATGTGTTCTCGATCAGCATCAAATTCTAAATCGATTTAAGCATGTTCGTCTCTCCGTCTGTCGATCGATCAGTCCGTTCGTACAATGTCCGTTAAAATTCTTCTGGCCGCAAAAACAAAGCTATCGACTTTCAATTTGGCAGAAACATCGGAAGTTCTTGCACACAGGATGGCATTGAAAAGGGGCCACATTAGTCGTAGAATAAGCGTACAAAAAGGAATGAAAAATTGATTTTTCGCTCATTACACATAGCAAATAAATGTACAAAAATTTGAACGCAAATTCTATGGTCAATGATGTAGCATCTGTGTACAAAAATGGGAAAAATTGATCATGCCTACCCAATATTAGAGTGTATCAAAATTGAGTTATTTTTTCAATATCTTTATAACACGCAGAGACCAGCTTTAAAAACCCCATAAAGTATACAAATTCTTGACCAGTCTCAAATTTGGAATATACCGAAACATGTCCATCTGTCCATCCGTTTATCTGTCTGTTTGAGTAACTTTGTAGTATTTGTGGTAAACATTCTCCCGTCAGCGAAAACGGAAATATCGCTTACAAATTTGCAACAGAATTCGGATTTATTATTATTATTATTATTATTATTAATTTCGCCAGAGAAATAAATTCTAAGACTAAGCTCCTAAAAGCACTAGCATCTAAGGCTATCGGCTTTTTTTTAATTTTCGAAACTGAGAAAATCAATTGCGCCCGCTCCATATTATAGAGCATGAGAATTTTGTTCTTTTACTTCTTTTGTCTTTTTTTAGGCAAAACGGTAATAGGTATAAAAGGTTCGGTCCCGATCGAATTTAATTTTCTTACTTGTTTTATTATGACCATCAACAGAGTGAATTAATTAATTGTGATATGCGGATTAAGTTAATTAAGATTACGTATATAGTAGTAGCGGCATTAATACTCAAAAATTGTACACACTATGACTACTACTTCTCGAATAGACGAAAAGACGGAATTTTTTTCAGAAGTAATGAGAAAAAGTCGACTAAAACCTTCTACACGGACTATCGGTTCGCTTTTCTTTAATTTTCAATTTTTCTATTCCAATTCTGTTCTATTTTCCTCATATGCTTGATTGCTCAATGGTTAATTATATATATATATAATATAATAATTAAAAAGAGAAGAAAAATAAAGTTTTCCTCTCCGCGTTTTTAGAAAAAAAGTTTTCAGTTTTATTGTTTATTTTTACTCTAGATCGTTATGCATTGTAATGCACGACGAAAACTTTTCATTATTGTTTTCAGCTAAGCTTTGGGGCATTGCTCTGGTTTTACTTTCTGGTCGATACTTTTACACACATATAGATAGACCGACATCTACGATATGCTTCGAGCGCAGAGAATAAACAGTGGGCAAATTAGAGAAAATTGTGAAAAAAACTAAACGCAATATTTTATCGCAACAATAGATTAGACCCGGGAAAAAGTTCGTGAATTTTCTCACCGATGCTAAAAAACATTTTTCTTTCTTCTCTTTTTTACGGATAATACCAACGCTATACTACGTCTAATATTTACTCTGGCTAAAACATAACCAAGTGATTTTCATACACCCTTTTGAAAATCATTACATCAATCAATTAAATCTTTCGAGAGAGTTTTGCAGAAAGCGAAACATGTAGTAAGTGGTCTTCCTAGCCAACCTCTCTCTACTTTTGTCATCGCACTAAAAATGGTTTTGCTGCGATGGAAGGCAAAGGCTTTCAAAACCCAATCACTTACGACTGAGTTAACGCAAAAAAAAAAGAAAGCAAACCGTCATGAACGTTTTCGTTGACGTAGCATTTATTAAGATCATACTGAAATTGTCATACGAAAATATTTTTTTTTTCGACCTATTAGATTCTACGGCTTTTAAAATTTGATGTTGCTTCCCAGGGAGCTTCAGAGCTTTTTTGAAA